CAATGCCGGCCTACGACACTCTGAGCTATCTCAATGAGATCAGTGCCCTGCGTGATTCTGTCCACCTGACTAGATCTGAGCTGCCAACCCTATCCCCAATTCTCAGACCTACTCAAATCCAGCCCATTTCCACTGCAAATTACCCAATGCACCCTTATCTGCTCAGAGATCACAGAATCATAGAATGGCCTAGGCTGGAAGGGACCTTAGAGATCATCTAGTCCAACCTCCCTGTCGTGGGCAGGGACACCACCTCTCGACTAGACCAGGCAACACATGGGGACCGAGCGGGAAGCCACAAAGTATGATCTGCTCTGATCCATTCCAAGATCCCCAGAACTCTCTCTAGCCAAGACACTTCAGCATTAGATGGGTCTTTTCCGCAGGAACGAACGTAGGTAACAGCACAGCAATTAAGATGCCAGTTGTGTCAGAGCTCTGGAACAAATCCTGCAGCTTCATTCTTCTCCAGCCTTCCTAATTCCTCCGCAGAGCCATGTATCTCTCACTGCCAGCTCTGAGACACTGAATCATAAGAGAAGTGCAGTTCGTTAAAGCCTGACACAGGCTTTGGCTCAGCTGGTGATATCACTAAAAGGATTTTGTCTCTGATTAATTTCAGCCTGTCAGTAGATGTCTCTGGGCAGAATGAAGAAACCTGCCACTCTGTATGTTTCTGATTAATACCAACTTCTCAGAAGGTGCCTGGAGATCCATCAACAATCTTAATTAAATTCAACTGAATGGATGACGACTAATCATTAGGGGAGTGGCTCTCTTGGGACCATGGCTGAAGAGTGTGGATGGAAGGACAGCAAGGGAGGCAGATGGTTGCTTGTCTAACATAGCAAAGCCTGCTTAAACAGTCATGTCCCTGATGGCTGGGTTTCAATCAATTTATCCAGTTACCAGCACTTTAGGGGTTACTTGTTCTTCCACGCCAGTTAAAACTACCCTCTGCCAAGGTGCAAGAGTGGCTTTCTGCTGTGATTCTCCAGGACACCATTTCCAGTGAAAGGATCTCACTTTCCTTTCCCTCTAAACATAAACATCCACTGTTTCTTGCCTCTCATTCTACTTACCATTACAGAGGACCCAGAAATCTTTCAGTCTGAAAATTACCATAGTGACAGAAATAACAAACGATAATTATTTTTCAATTCTAGACATTATCAATGATAGGTATCAAATCAATACTCTTCAGTGAGGTTATATGCTTCCTAGAAATTGCAGTCCTTGTTTCTCCTCTGTCACCTCACAGAGGGCACAAACTTATCCCAGTCAAGTCAATTCTGAGACACAGTACTAATAGAATCTACCCATGTTTCTTATGAACAACAATGAGGAGATATCTATTTTTAGACCATTAATGCTAGTGAATAAAGCTATCCTGACGGCTTCAAAATCCTCCCTCTAGTCACACATGAAACAAGCAAAAAGCATGACAAGTAGTGAAATGACTCACCCTAGTTAGTAGAAACCTACCAAAGGGTTTACAGAGGTAATCTCTTTATCATCCTCAATATTTGATATCTTTGCTAAAATTCCTCATTAGTCTCAGTTGTGTGTTTTTAAGAGTACGGCACCTGCACTGTAAGAATTTGATTAAGAAGGATGTTCAGTCTGAGTATCATAAAAGCTTTCCAGCAGTCACAACACAAGTGATGACATTTGGCCACTACTTAGCTGGGCTGGTTTTAAAGCAGTGAAGTGAGAAATCCAAGAACAGAAATCAAGAACAAAAATCAGAAACTTTTCTCCAAAACATTAATAGTTGCTGCAGTGACCTTTCTCCTGCACTCATGTCCTTGCATTAGTAGAAACGCAACTAGGGTTGAAAATTGAATTCACTTTGGCTGAGACTGGCAGTAGTCTTTGGCCACTGTATAGCAATCCATTTAAATGCATTATTATGTAAATTAATGGCAAACTTTTCAAGGGTATGAGACCTGGTTTCTCCTCCTGCCTCCTCCAAATAACCGGAGAGAGGTGAAAACAAAGCCATGGTGGCAGAACCATCTTTATTCAACACTTTGCAGCCCTTGCTGTGCAGAGAAGTGGATGTTGTGAAGGTCGGTCAGCAGCCTGGAACAAAACTGCAGTCACAACTCTTTAGCCAACTGAGAAGGATCCCCACCTGTCCTACCACTCAGGAGTTTACCTGACAGCTATACAAATTATTCATACTATGCAATGAAAGAAATAATTCAGCCTTAATCCTTGTGCACCATGTACAGTAAGTTAAATACATTTAGGATATTAATATAGGCAACAGGCACACTTTATAATCATGGACATATTGTGACAGAGGACATGATAAAGCTAGCATGATCTATCACTGCAGAAAAAACTGCAGACAGAAGAGAAACACAAGGCTCAAGTGAGCATCACGGCTGGGAAAAATGGCAGCTGGTATTCATTACCTTTTGAGAAGTTCACCACCTGTAAGACTCTAAAAAATAGTTAAGCCTAGGAAGACACCAAGAACTCAGAAGAGAAAGCTAGTGAAACTGTCCTGAGACTCTTAACTACAAACTAGAAGGTGTATTTTGAAAAGCTCAGACAAAACACACACCATATCTGTAATAAAATTACCTTCATACCTGTGCTACTTTCATACTCAGGTTAAGAAGGGGTATGGCAATCCGAAATACTCACGCTCGGCAACTGTCATGAAAGCTCAAAGCTTTCTGTAGTAAATATATATAGCAAAAAAACCAACAAACAAAAGCCCCTGTATGGCTAACAAAAAAAACCTTATTGACTGGTGACTGTAATATACTGAGTAAGGATAATAAATGGTAGCGAAGGAGTGCTTTGCTGTAAAATAGCAAATTAATGAGGTAGGGTCCCAAGGAGTAAGTTTTTACCTGGTTTGCTAGGTGCTTTGAAGTTTGTACCACTGTATCTTCGATGCTATTGTTGGTTGACAAACACATTCATTTTGCTGAGAGGGAAGGCAAAGTGAGGCTTTAGGACATCACTAATCAAGAAGTACGTAGGTGCTACGATACACATACTTATACTGGTGCCCCCTTCTGTTATTCCTGCAATGACAGTACATTAAATGTAGCATGTCTAATATTTGGCAATGGCAGATATATTATAACAAATATGTGGACTTGGTTATGAATGCCATACTTCTAGAAAATCTACTTAAATTACAGGGTAAAATATCAAAAGCACAATGTGCTAATACTTGCTTGTTATTTTTTATATTTAGTACAAAAAGCAAGATCAGAATTTCTCCCCCTGACACAAACACTTGAATAAGAAAGGGTTTTGCAATATAGCTATGAAGAGAACTACGCAGTCAAAGACAACGAAATTATTTTCTTTACAGAAACATGAAATGAAGAGAATCTTAAGCAACTGAAAGCATTAATTTAAATAAGTTATCTAAATATCATTAAAACATTCAATAGAAGTCGATATACAGAACTAAAGCAGCCTTAATTTGTTTTATCTTAATTTACTTCTCAAGGACATTGTAGCCACTTCAATTCTAAACACATACATCTGTCATGTTAATCTGAGTAATCCAGTTTAACAATTAATTCAGATATATTCACTTGGGTAGTCATGTCTTCTTAGTAACTGAAAAATGCATTTTAGCTAAAGAACCACTTATTATTATTACAGAAGAGATATAAAAAAGCAGTGTTTTCCTTAAAAAAATATCAGGTGACATTAGCGTATGCATTTTCTACATTTAGAAGAATCCAGTCATAGTTATGTGTCTGAAGTCTCCTCTTTCAAGATGCTCTGATTTTAGCACTGCAATGTTGTTCTGTTATCTGAAAGTCAAACATTGAGATGCATATCGTCACCTATACTGGTATTATGGGGATTTGAGAAAAAAAAAAGAAAAGAAACTAAGTGATTCAGGAACAGCTAAGCAATAGGTAAGTGACTTAATTAGGGACAGTATGCAGATTCACTCCTGTTTCTAATTTCTACTGTCAGGCTTCAGACTTTCCACAGCAAGGCACAAACTACCTTACAAAACAAAATTATCCCACAGACTCTAGATTTCCTTTACCAACATTCTGTTTTAGGCATGGGTAACCTCTGTCTATTTACAGTCAGTAGTTACTTCCGAAAAGGGAGGAGAAATGGAGAAATAAAATATCATTAGAGACATCGCTGCATTGCAGCCATATGTACCTGTGCTTTTAAACTCGTGACACTAAGTGAATTCGTCTCCCTCCAATGCAAGGTCAATTATTTCAGCAGGGCATCCCACATGGCAGGGAACGGTGAACTTTATTTTTACCTGTAAGAGATATGGGCTACGAAACAAGGACTATCTATCCACATGTCATCACTTACTTTTAGGAACTCCAGTCACAGACCAGGCTCGTACCATGTTAAGATTTTGGTGCACCTGATTCTGATCAACCACCTCAGCACAGAAAGGTTGCAAAGTCTGTATCCAAACTGCAGAAACTACTGGAAAGGCACTATTGTTAAAATGTATTTTGTCTTTGAAGAAAGCTGCAGATACTCGAACAAATCAAAAGCCCCTGAATTGCGAGCATTAAGGAGACAACAAGAAGTCAAGAATATAGCTGGGATTTCAGACTTGATGGAAACTTAAAAGAACCAAAGCACACTAATTTTACTCTAGTTCTGCATAATACCAGGTAATACACTTTCTGGCATGAAACACTTTATTGAAAGTTGTGAATTAAATAATTATGTCTCTCATCCCATTGTAGATTATCACCTGGTAAGTTAGCAAAAGAGGAAAATTAGGCAGATAGCGACCTGCCCATAACTATCCAGTTACCCTGAAAAGTAGGAGTATTTGAGGCACGCTTGCTTGAGGAGACTTTATTGCTGTAATTTCATAAGGCACGATTGCTCTCCACAGACATTTGTCTCTTACAATTCCTTCACCGGAAAAGCTACTTGTTAATAGCAGATAAAAGTAGACCTTAATGAAGATAATACATGACTGATAAAATACTTATAAAAATGATTAACATTTTTGAGATTAAAAAAAAATCCCTGAAATAACTTAGGGCATTTGAGCAAGAGTCTGAAGAGATGTTCCTCTGAAGTCATATAGGCCACAAGGAAACTATACCAAATGCATAAGGAGAGGAAATTCCTCTTTTGTCCCACATGTTGATACCTCCGAGTCAGGAGTGGTTTCACACTACAGACCTGAAATACAGATTGAAGTAGTTGCTAAGATCTCCACTGCTGAAATCCAACCATAACAGAAACTTACTTCATGCATCATAAAAAGTCTCTGTGAGGGTTTTTCTTCTATTTCAAGGCAAACATTTGGAGCGAGGTTAAGAACTTGCAGTCTCAACTTTCAAAGCAATTTTTAAATCAAGCTCTTACAAAGATGGGTCAGTGCTGCCTTGTCCTCTTGAGAAAAATCTCATGCATGTAGTCCCAAAATCTTCCCTGATGTGACTCATTGCGATGAATCATAGCAGTGAGGGCCTCACCCTGATCAAGGCTTTGCCAATAATCCTGCAGCCACATCTCTTTCCAACTGAAACAGAAAAAGAGACATCACCACAAACCATTAAAAAACCACAAATGAGTGTGCAGCTGAAATAGCACTGACAAATTTTTTTTCTTTCATCTTAGAGAAAACAGACGCAGAGATGATCATAAAGTATGTTGTTACCATGCCACTGCACTCCAAGTCATACGAAAATTCTCTACAGAAAATATAAGCTCTCTATTAGCTTTACAACGTTCTAGAAATATTAGCATGCGACGACAGTGTTAACCAAAGACACTATGTTATTAATTGCAGAGATTAAAAACTTTTGTTAAAATAAAATCTAGTCCTTACATGATTTTGAGAGTAGCCTTCCGTGGCCAGTACGCATATAACAGCCTAAGAATAATCCTTCTTTTTTTTTTTTCCAGATAAACCATTTAACAATTAGAGAATGCCAGGTACTCATTATAAACTCAGGTTATACACAGCAGGGACAAAAAATCATTAGATCCCTCAGCCATGACTCTATTCTTTATCTCCACACTAGACACGTGAGTTCAGGCTTTCTCTCTCTCTGCTCTGGTACAATTTTTCCAGGCATATCTCATATTTACAAACAGGGCAAACAACATATTATGGTCCAATGAGACAGAGAAACTTCTGCGGGTTACAACCGTAGCTTGGATCATGGACCAACTGTTCAAACCTCCCTGCTGGTGACCACGGCACAGCGTTTGACCAGGAAGTGGCAGAGGCACCTGTGCTGTGCTCTCAGAGGTTTTCCTGTACTGCCATCTGCTGCTCAAGCAAAAGAAAATGTGAAAAAGCAGAGAATACTCTTGCAGAGGATGCCGCATAGCATACAAGGAAAAAAATCTCATTTTACTACCAAGACTGAAAAAAGGCATTAATATTACAAAGCTCCAATATATCAATCAACCAACAGAGAACAAAGGCTTATGGACCCCTTTTACTTATAAGCATACATTTTCAATTAGTCAATACCAAGATTAATTGTACTGTGAAAAATGCTTTTTAATGACATACATCGTAAGTTTTGTGAAATAGGCATTTCCTACACATGAGTGATCTCAGGCTTATTTTCCTTTTTAATTTCAGTTGGCCAATTCTGAAAGCATCCAAACATAGGAAAAAGTCGCTCCCCACACTTACAGAATTCTTCATGCCTTTTTGTGGATGAATAAAGTAATAAAAACTTTTTTAAAGCTTCGCATCAACGTAGAACTTAAATCTGAGTTAACGTACTTGGAATGATGGAGTCTACATTTTCAACACGCTCTTTCTTCCAACATTGTGACACTCCAAAGCATTAAGTTCCTTAGTATAGAAAAGTACTAACCAAGTTGTAAACTGATATAAACTGCAGTAGAGTATACTGACAACTTCCTTCTGGTCAGTGCATGAGTTCTTACCAGTATTTTCAAAATGTCATTAATTTAACACTGCAGCAGGACTGACATAAGAATATTGAAATCTTTAGTGACAGCTATGAACATAGGCAAAATCTGCCGTGGCTGAGGGTCTATCGTTACGACGGCTGTCTGATGGCTTACAGAAAGGTGAACAGCATGCACTTAAGTAATTACCTACCAAGAGAGAAAATGTTGCATGTAATGCAAAGAGAAATGATACACCTGGAGAACCCAAACATGTCACATGAGTAATACACGCTACAGAAAGTGCACACGCTGTTTATGAATTACAAGAACCCTTCCTTCTAGCAAGTGCAACTTTAAACACTGTCAACAGAAAAACTCAAGCTTCAGGAACCCGAGCGCTGACTTGTTTTGTACGAACGCGCATATAAATACTAAGTAAAGCGTGCAAATGAAAGTCTATTCCACTCTCAAAAGTGGTTGCTTGAGGGTTGGTGTGGTTAGTTCCCTGCTGACAGACTTCACAGAGCAGCTCGCACTAGAGGTGGCCAACATTCGGCTACAGGCCTGGGAACTGCAGCAACACCAGCAATCCCTGTGCACAAAGGGGATAAGCAGCTGCTCCACCTACTCTCTGTCCTGTGTGGTCCCTCTCTAAATAAACGTGATGGCGTCACTGTGCGGACAATCACCCCTCCCTCAAACAAAGTGGCTGAGACAGACAAAGGAGAACCACATCGCTAGAGGTCACAGAGCATTTTAACAGAATGTTTCAGGTGTTTCACGCTCCTCATTCTACTGCTTTTTCAGCCTGTGTTACACAATATTGGCAGAACTAATACCCCACTCACAAGACATAATATAAAGTGTAACTGGAGATGTATTAAGTGACCCTTTAAGCACAAAGCATTATTAAAAGTTACAGCTACTAGAAGCTTTTTTCCCTTCAAAAAGCACAGCACTGGTACATTACCTGTCTCCTCCAGAGACGTCATCAACACTTCCAAACCCAGGAGTGGGCATAGGACATCCCATGTGCTTGAACTGAGCTATGCGAGGTCTGGGGGCTGGAATTTTCCCACGAGACTTTTTGTGTTCCTGCTCCTCTTTGACCCGAGTGTTCTCCCTGTCACAGATGAAACACTCGAAGCCATTCAGATAATTGGGCAGCGTCATGTCATTCACACCCCACTCCCGCCTCTCCAGGCTCTCTAACAAGAACTGATTTTTGATTCCACCAACGTTTTTATACTCCAGATACTTCATATATTCTTCTCCATTCTTGTCCAGGAAATCAAGGTACTTTGCCAGCTCTTGGGGGCTGGCAAAGTCATCTATAAGAATGATGGAGTGGTTGTTCGGCATCCAGTCCCGCACAGCTGGGGATCCTCGGTATACTGGGACAGCACCCAAGTGCATCGGACGCCACAGCTTCTCCGTCATGTAGTCGTCACATATGGCATTCTCCAAGGCCAGATGAAACTTGTACCTGGCGATAAAAGTCATAAATTCAGAATCTTCTGTAGTGGCTGTAGAAGTGTCTCTCAGTCGCTCACTGGGAAGCTCACGGTTATGCAGGCACTTCCCATAGGAGTCAACCTAAAATAACAACCGTCATCTTTACAAAGGGATTTGTTTGCATGGAGCTTCTTTTCAGAGATTATAGTTCCCCTAAAATTCCTAACTTTGATCAGTTCCTAGTTACCTTAGTTTAGAGCTTCACCTTCACTCCAACTCCCAGTTCTAACAGCATTAGAGGAAACAAAGAGTGCTCAGTTTCAAAACCAGCATAAGCTATAATACAGATTGAGGGCTGGGAGGCTGCACGGACAGGAAGGTGTCACTCAAAACTGTATTTATTATTAGGCAATTCAGAAACTGAGAGGTAGGGAAGGGCATATCAACTCACTCTCTGTTAATCTATAAGTCATCTTTCAACAGAGAGACATTACTTTTCCAAACACAGTTCCTGCCAGTCTCAGCAGGCTGGCAAAAAATTTCCAGTTGTTAGACTGAGAAAAATTGATGCAGGGACGTAAAAGAATACTGTCTAAAAATGAAAGATAATACACTTGATCAGGAACCTACTTCATTGTTTCACAATATACAGTCATATCATAAAAATTCTGTTGTCTTTGCTTCACTACTGAGTACATCATGAACTTGCACAATAAATGAAACACGACCCATAGAAACAGCTGAAACTACTTAGGAAAAGAATGTTTCTGATAAAAACTAAAACCAGATGCTTTTCGTCTCCCCTCTAATCTACTGCACTTCAGAATTTTTATGAAAAAAAACCCCACTAAACTTTTTTCTTCTTGAAAGAAACTACATCATCTCACTTTACGAAGCTACTCTCCATCAGCTGTGCCACAGCAGTACAAAGCACCACAGAAATCAACACGGTCCTACCACAAGGCAGCTAGGGCACAGATTCTCAAGACACAGCAACCTGTGTTTTTACTGCCTGCCCATACTTTCAGATGGGCGTAGGGCTTGTACACAGACAAGTATATGTACTCTAACTTAAAGATCCAGAGACCAGCAACTTCCAGCACTTGGTCCACATGACCATGCTTATTCACGCTTAACCCGACTTGTGACTGATCCCCAGTCTGGCCAACTCCAGGCCTACCTACAGGCAAGCAGTGCAGTCTAGACCACGATTCAGGAAGGAAAACCACTAGTTTTTCTGTCCAGCTCGTAGTCGGCATGCATCCCGTTAGGACTCGTGTCTCGGCTACAAACAAGGACAGGCAGACACCATTAAAAAGGGCAGGCGGGGGCAGCGGCCGGGCGGACCCAGCTCCTAGAGCACCGCCACGCACCTGGATGTACTTCATGAGCTCCCGCACGTAGCGGTCCCGGTCGGAGGGGACGTCGCAGTGGGACTGCATGTAGAGCACCGGCCCGTAGC